GGAGGTGAGTTGTGACAGGTTCTGCGTGCTGGGCGCCTCGGGACTGCCTAGATTGGAAGGGATGGAGTATGTCCCCCTTACCTGTGCAGCAGTGGGCCTGGTGGGGCTGTAGAAGACAGAGGGTAGCTGGGAGAGCTGCTGGGTGCTGGGGAGCTCGGCGCTATCAAGGTACCAGTTGGGCAACCCCCCTTCATCACCTGTGATGGTGTATGTCCCCCTTCTTTGCCCAGCAGTGGGCCCGGTGGGGCTGTAGAAGACAGAGGGCAGCTGGGAGAGCTGCTGGATGCTGGGGAGCTCGGCGCTACCAACGTGCCAGGGAGGCGTTGACCCTCCAGTGCTGGGGACAGAGTATGTACCCCCTCTGGTGGGGATGATGTACGTCCCCCTTCCCTGCCTGGCAACAGGAAGGTTGGGCAAGCTACTGCCAGGGAAGACAGAGGTGAGCTGGGTGCTGGGGAGGTCACAGGGAATGAACGCCCCACCTGGCTGGGTGATGGCAGGCAGGTTGGGCAGACTGGCTGGTGCAATGAGGGGAGTAGAGGGGGAAGACAGGTGGGGGTGCCATGGGATGGGGCACTCAAAGCAGTAGCCCCGCGGGACGATTGAGCTGCCGTTGCTCTGCTGACAAGCATTTTGACCTGAGATTGTTGCACCGCCAACACCTGCAAGGTGGAGAGAGAGAGAGAGAAAGAAGTGGTAGCATCTAATAGGGGGCAGGAAACTGCCATTATCCTCCCCCGCTTAATCTGGGGCAGTCAAGTTACCTTCTGAGTGGGAGCGCAGTTTTCCCTTTGGATTATTCATTCAGCAACTGTTTCAAGTTACAACAGTGCTGAAAAAACAGAGTGATGAATGGTCCTTGAAGTTACAGCTATTGTTATGCCCCTTTGTTCACATGATCAAAATTGGGATTCCCCCCCTCCTCGCCCTTACAATCGGAAAGGTGTGAGAGTAGTTAAGGCACCATGTCAGAAACCAGGAGACAGTGAGTTCTAGTCCCGCCTTTGCCATGAAAACTGACTGGGTGACTTTGGCCCAGTTGCTCTCCCGCAGAACAGTCCAACTTCACAGGGTTGTTCTTGTGGGGGAGGAGGAGCATATGTTTGCTGACTGGGCATGGAATGAGGCAGCTTGACTGTGGTGAGCTGGCTTTGGCAAGTTGGCCACGGTGAATTGTCACAGATCCCATGTGATGACCCAGGGCAAGGCACAGAGGTGACACAGTCAGCTGATAGTTCAAACTGCTCCTTTATTGCTCCAACTTTCCCCCAAACGCTCCCATGTTTATGGCAAGTTCCACAGCAAAGTGATCACACACACACCTCCAGCAGCCTCTGGCTGTAAGTAGTCCAGCACAACACTGTGAGCACAACGGCTGCAAAACAAGAAATCCAGCGGGGCTCGGGAATAAGTCAATGAGTCCAGCAAGCAAAAGAACAAGGCAACTAATCCAGGAAGCAAGAAATAAAGCAAGAAATCCAGGAAACTCCAAATGTAGGCAACAGCACACAACACTCCATGAATTCAGTGTTTCTTCCCAACAAATACCCCTCCCGACAGCATCTCCTTAAGTTTCAGTCTCCAGGTGTGCCTTGTGAAGAGGGGCGGGGTGCTCTCCTCCTGAGTTGTTGGGTCAGCCTGCACTGTTCCCGCCTTCTCTCCACTCTCCACCCTCAGGGATCAGGAGGGGATGATCCTTGCTCATCACCTGAGCTCTTTCACTCCTCATGTTCACTGCGTAGGCTCTCTTAGTCATCCTGCCCATTCCTCCCTGCCTACAAGCCATCCCTGAAATGGCTTGGCCTGACTCAGCCTGCTCCTCCCCACATTCCTCCAAAGCCAAAGAAGCCACCTCCTTGATCTCTGTCAGCTCTGGCTTGTCTTCATCTGCAGATTCAGGCTCCAACAACCTTGGCCTTCCTGTGGTCAGTGCAGAGCCTCATCTGCCAAAGGGAGCTTGCCAGGCCCCACCAGAGAAAAGAGAGTGGGAGGATGAGGTGAGGTGAAGCTCCCTCCATCGTCTGGCGATGCTGGAGAGCCACCAGCAGCTCAAGGAGCAAGGGTGGAGGCAGCCTGCCCTCTCAGCCAGGGGTAGAAGGTAGCAAAGGGTAGCCGCCAGAGTGCAGGGCAGGCTCCATTGTGGTTGTAAGCCAAGGACTATCTCTATTGAAAGGTGAAGCAGCACAGATGTCAGCATCCATGATGCCTTAGGAGACACGGCCTATTCCCAATAAATTCCCAGAAGACCAAGGGGGACCACCCCTCTGGCCATCTCCAATTCAAAAGGCTACAAGAACTGACCGCTGAGATACAGCAAGCGACAGAAGAAAAAGCAGTCAAGGGTCTAGTAGCAAACTTGGAGAATGATGGTTGAAAGAGCCTCCTAGCAGACAAAGGAGCAAAGATTCGAGTGGGAGATGAAGAGCACTGATCCATCTGAACTCGGGGGGCCGGAGAAGGCTCCTCCGAATGCCAGGGGACCGCCAAGACATCAGACAAACCCAGCCAGGATTGTCCCTGAAACAAAACTGACCAGACCAGAATTCTCTTCCATCAGACCCAGGAGGGGGAGACCCCTCTCTCAGGCGCGGGTCTAGTGCTCGGCAAGGCCAGAGAAGGAGTGACCAGCAACAAGGCCTCTGGGCTCCCCTGCAGAGCTGACCAGGTCTAAAGACCAGAGGGAGAAACTCGAGGTGACCATGAAGAGCTGACAATGACTTGATGGCACAAAACCAACCTATTTTCTTTTAAGAAACGCCTGAAGGTGAAAATATGCAAATCCTTCAACCCCATTAATTATGTTTAATTCCATTGTCTTTTATAAAGTGGGTATCTACATATAACACAGGATGCAGCTGTCCAAATTCTTATCAAACATTCCTTGGTCTATTTTACATCACATCGATGTCACCGCAATCTTCCTGGCCTGGGATTTGTTAATGTTTAATCCAAGCCCCCTGTCTTAAACGGGATGGGGGGCTTTTTTCTGGCCCCCACACCTCGCTTCAGGGACTCCCTGCAACCTCCAGAGCCCTCCCCCCAGGAAGGTCCAGGTTTTCCCCCAGGGTGGCATGGCATCGGCCATCAGGAGCTTGGCAGCAGCACAGACGCCAGGGCTCCGGACTGAGAGGGCGACACAGCAGTCAGTCCTTTCTAGACCTTTATTGCCTTTAATGGGGGTGCACAATAAGGGGGAGGGGGGGTCACCAGATGAAGAGGGGCTTCCCGTCCTCCTGCGAGAGCTTTTGGAGGCAGTTCAGCAGCAGCAGGCAGTCCTCGAGCATTTCGGCAGGGACCACACTCTTCACCACCTCCTCCAAGTGCTGGAGGTTGCCGTAGGCAGCTGCCTCGGGGCTGGAGATTTCGGGCCGCTCGCGAAGGATGCCAAAGGTGTTCACCGTGCGCTCTGTCAGGCTCGGGTGGACCTTGGGGTCGTAGCCCAGGGGCTTCAGGGAGTCCATGATGCTGTTGTAGCGCTCCATGATGGCCTCGGACTGCTCCGGGCTCAGCTGCAGGAAGGGGTCCTTTTCTCTCTGGGGAGAGACGGGGAGCGTGAGAAGGGCAGGGGGGGGCAAGATACCCACCCTGGGGTCCCTGAGCTTCATTTGGGGCCTCCAAAGGGAGGGCAGCCCAGGAACCAGGACAGGAGAGAGCCAGCGCTGCCCCCCTTCAGAGGGAGTCCGGCAAAGCAGCCTCTGTGGGCCAGGCATGGTGGAGTCCAGCCAGGAGGGGCAAACTACCTGACCTACCCTGCCCCTTCCTGACTACCAGAGAAGCTGGGAGGGGGAGTGCTTTCCCCATGTAAAACCCAAAGGTCACTCCAGGTGGAGTCTGGGGGAGGTTGTCATGTGGCTGCCTCAGCCGTGAGCCAGTCACACCCCATAGGGCAGAAAGCATCTCTTCCTGCCCCAAAGATACCTCCCAGGGTAGGGACAGGCCACAAGAGTGGGTCGCTTCACCTGTGAGATTTTCTCAGGGATATTGCGAACGGTGAAGCCATAGAGGCGGAGTCGGTCAGGGAAGATGCTGGAGAGGATGCGGCGGTCCAGCTGAAAGGCGACCTCACCCACAATGCGCTCCTGCTTGTTGGCTTCTGCAAGAGAACGCCAATCAGCAGCAGCCTTCGCAGCCCCACCCCCAGCAGCCCCGCCCCCCGCAGGTGGCTAAAGCTAGGCCGGCTTCTCTCTTGGGGCCAGGAATCAACCCCTCCCAGAGCCTGGTCAGCATTGGGGGAGAAGGGGATTCCCGGAGACCCAGCAATCAGCAATGCTGGGGGGGGGCAGGTTCCCTCCTGCTCGATCTATTTCTATGCTCCAAAGCAGGGCGGGGGTCCCCAATGTGGGCCGGCAGGGAGGCAGGCTCGGGATGACCTAGCCCTGGCCGGGAGAAAGGAACCAGGGCCAGCTGGGGGCTGCATTGAGCCAGCGCCACGGATGAGGACACAGTGGGACCACCACTCAGTGTCTGGGCATGAGAAGGCCAAGCCAGCCAAGGGGGCAGAGACCTGGGTGGGACACTGTGGGAAATGGAGCTTGGGAGCCACTATTCTGCTTTCCTTTTAATTCCATTTGAAATTTAATGGAGGAACTTGGAAATATGTTGTGTCCCTCTTGGCTTGTTGGCCTGGCCAAACTTCTTAGCCTGTACAGAGTTGCGTGGCTGCGAGCATTGCAGAGTCCTTTTGTGCCCCTCCACCCACCCCCTCCTCCTCCTCTGGTCTGGGCAGGGTCTCCGGGCAAAGGATCCCACACTCTCCAACCTCCCCTTGCCGTTCTCACCTGTCTCTCCGGTGCCAATGGTGCTGTTGCGGCTGTCGGCGGCACCCTCTCGCTGGACAGAGCCGCTGCTCTCCTTCGCCTGCAGGGGCTGCGGGGCTTCCTCCGGAGCTGGGGACTCGCCTTTCCCAACCTCAGGTGGGGGGGTCGGGCCAGGAGAGGGTGTGGGGGGCTGTGGCAGGGCAGCGGGGGGCTGGCTGCCCTGTGCCACAGGCAGAAAAGTGCTCTGGACCGGAGCAGCAACCAAAGGGCCACCTCCACCAGCCACACCACCTGGCCCCATCCAAAAGGCGAGCGGCAGCGGTGGCTGGGAAGGTGCGGTGCCTCCATGGCCAAAGCCAAAAGCCTGGAAGGCAGTGGGGATCCCATGGGCACTAGAACCAGGTGCCACAGGAAAGTGCTGAAGGCTGGGCTGAGGCCAGCAGGGCAGGAAAGGTGAGGGGGTGCCGCTGGCAAAGGTTGGGGGCGAAGGGGGCCGGTGCGGGTGCCATGGGAAGGCACACTCGTGGCAGTAGCCACGGGAACTGGAGGGGTGGAGGGAGGTGGGAGGAGTGGCTGGGGCGGCGAACTTCGGGCTGGAAGTGCCACTGGCTGCAAAGAACAGAGAGAGTGTCTGCTAAACGAGCGCTGTGGCAGGGCAGGGTAGGGGTCCCACTGGCTCCCCGGAGGCCTTGGGATCTTCCCCAATGCTTTTGGGGAAGGGAAGGCTGCCTCCTGATCTTGTCCCTACCCATCACCTGCCGCCCCCTCCAGCCCTGCACCTTGTGCCCCCCACCCGCTTGTTCTGCTGGGTGCCACCTGCCATTCTAGGCACAGGCTCGGCTCCCTTCTGCAGAGCCACCTGGACCCCCCCCCTTTCTGCTAACACCATGCCCGGGTGGTGCTTCCTCAGCTGTTCTTGGTCAGAACTTGATTTACTTCATTAAATGGAGGGATGTAGCCCCCCCCACACACATGCACCCTTCCGAAGGGGCTCTGTGCAGAGGGGGCAGAAGGATGTTGGGAGCCCCCCTTTCCTGATCTCTCCAGCCCTGGGCAACCTGCCCCTAAAAGGCTAGAAGCTGCTGGCTGGGCTGCTGCCTCGTTCGCTGGCACAAAACCTTCAGACTTTCAGGGGAAAATCTGAGCCCTGGCATCCCAGCTGTGACTGGCACCCCGGCTTTACAGCAGGGCACAGCAGGGATGGCCAGAGCCCTCCTGGCACAGCCTTCTTCCAAACAGTGGCCACAATGAGACCCCTGATGGCCACAGTGCCTGGAGGGCAGGGTGCGATGCGCACACAAGTCAGTCAAGCTGGAGGCAGCCAGCAATGCTTCTGGACTGAGCGCACCAGTGCCAAGAGTCCGTCCTTGGGCAGAAAAATAGGTGTGACCTGAGGAGCATAGTGTGCGCACCTACAAAGTGTGCCACCCATCTTGGAAAGAGAGGGAATGCTACTCGCCGTTCCTTGGCCTGGGTGCGCAGAGGTGCCACCACTTGCAGCCAAAGTCTTGCTCCAGCTGGCAACTCTGCCTCTAGAGGAGCCCATGTTTTATCTCTGGCATCTGGCATCCCTATCCCCTTCATTTCATTTGCATTTTAAAGCCACGGGCCCTGAAACTGTTATCCTTCAAAATTGGCCCTTTTCCAAATGTTGATAAATGAAAACTGATGGGAAAACATTGGAGGCCGGGAGGGGCATGCGGTGGGGTCGGAGAAGCGGCAAGCGCCTCTTTGTGGGAGGGGGTGTTTCCTGCCTGCCTTGAAAGGGTGGGTGGTTGGCCCCCTCCACCAGAGGTCACCCTTCCCTCAGGTAAGGGAACTATCTCCTGTTTTAGGGCAGGCTTCAGCTGGGAAGGGCCAGGAATGAAGGTTATCTGGATCCTTTTCAGTGGTGGCATGCTACCGGTTTGGACTGGTTTGGCCGAACTGGTAGTAAAAAAAGCCTCCAACATCAGCTGAGAGGAGGAAGAAAAGCGCAGGATCGGCCCCCCTCCCACCTGCCCCTGCGCTTTTCTCTTCTTTATCCTCTCAGCTGATTGGTGCTGCAGGAAAGCTGCACATATACATTAGGTGTGCGTGCATTGAGTGTGCGTGCGATCACCAAACCGGTGGTGGAACAGGTAGGATCCCACTGCTGATCCTTTTCCCTCCGGAAGGTAGTCTGGCTTCCCTAGAGCACACAGGGGACTCCAAGGCTTCCATGATTTCTGATGTTTGGAGGTGCAGGTCCCTCCCAGAGCTGCGTGGACCCTCCAGCGAGGGCTCCTTCACCGGGTGTGTCTCAAAGGCTTTACATGCTTTACTGTGCATGTTTGGCACTAAAAGGCATAAGCCATTTACGTTCCTGATAGCTTCATTGCTGGTTCTAAGGCTGTGCCTGTTGTCATTAATCTGGTCTTCTTTATGTTTAATTTTAATCCCATTTTCCCCTCTGCTCCTTGACTTTTATTATTAGAGTTTGCCAATCTTCTGCATTTTTCACTGTCTAGGCAGTGTCATCATCAGCGTAGCATATTGATGTTCCTTCCTCTAATTTCAAAACCACATGTATCTTCTTTCAACCTAGCCTCCCTTAATATATTTAGAACACAGGCTGAAAAAATAAGGGAAGCACATCCAGCCTTTGCCAACCTGGATCCAGTCTGTTCTTCCTATTCTGTCCAGACTATGCATTGTTGACCTGTAGGTAAGTTCCTCACGAGAACAATGAAATGCTCTGTTCTCCTGAGGCCTCTTGGGTACTGACCTCTCGGCCACTCGGGGGTTCAGAGCGAATCCCTTCCCTCTTCCTGGGATCAATTTCAGCCACTGACTATCGGTCCCTCGGTGTCCGTTAGCCGCCAGATTGAAGTCGGAAGCCCCTTCTGCGTTCCGAGACCTTTTGAAAGACGTCCCTTCTTTTCCCGTGTCTGTTGCTGTCCTGGGTGTCTTTACGGGAGTTGTAACCCTGTTTTTGGTCTCTTCCAGTCGGTCTCTGGAACTGTGAAGCTCCTTCTTGAGATCTCTGTCTTTCCTCGCTTTGGCTTCTGCTCTTGGCGATTTCCATGGTTTCTTCCCACATCCACTTTGCTTTCTTCCGTTTCTCCCTCTTTGGCAGAGTCTCCTGCCACATTCCTCCTTAGCCATTTCCTTTGAGTTCGTTCTACAGTTCCTCTGCTTCACTATTGAAGAGTTCCAGGACTTCACAGAGATTAACAAAACAACAGAATTGGAAGGGACCTTGGAGGTCTTCTAGTCCAACCTCCTGCTTAAGTGGGAGACCTTATACCAGGGTTGTCAAACTGGCAGCCTGCAGGCCAGTGAGTCATGCGCAGGCCATGCTCATCGCAACTCTGCAAAGGGGGAGAACGTTGCAATGCGCTATGTGGCAGCAATGTGACGCTGTTAGTTTGACACTCGTGCCTTTGGAACAAATGGCCGTCCAAACTCTTCTTGGAAATCTCCAGGGATCTCCAGGGACTCACGACTTCTGGAGGAAGCCCTTTCCACTATCATGTCAGCCCTGGTCTTTCTCTTCACTAGACCTGAGCTGGTGGCTCCATGTTCAAGTTCATATCATGGAAGCTGCCTGGTTTTCTTCTCGTCAACTTAATTTGGAGCAGCTTGTGATCTGTTCCACAGGCAGCACCTGGCATCCCTTTGTGCTCCATCAGGTGGCATCCATGTTCACAGGCCACCATTAGGGTTGTTGGAAGACAGTGTTAGCTACGAAGAAATCCCTGGAATGGCAGCAGTGGGTAAGTCCCATACAATCCAACCACATTTTCCTCCTCCTCCATCTTTCTTTAACATCCCGGTCACCAGGCATAAGCCTGCATCTCCCCTGCATGTTCTGTCCATCTCCAGTTGATAATGAAACACCCTCCCCAGTCCTTTTCTTGCCTTTCCGAAAGCCCTTAAGACCCATTTTTCCCCTGGGGTGTGGGAGAAAGAATGGAAGGAGGGCAGCTGAGCCTGTTATGGGGTGGGCCAAAGGGGTGGGATTTGATTATGGATTTTTGTGTTTTTGTTTCAGTGTTCTTATTATTGCATCTATATTTTTGTTTATTGGTTTCACTTTTACTGCGAGTTGCCCAGAGTTGCTTAAAATGGGAGCCACTAGAAACCTTTTATATAAATAAATAATCTTTTTCTGCACTGGTATTTGGAGCATGAACTGAAATGGTCATCCTATTAAAAGTTTTTCCACAAAGCCTAATTGATATAATCTGGTCACTGACTGGGGGGAGGGTAACCAAGGACTGTTCTGGGGAAGCCCTCCCCGGCTATATACCCTGCTATCCCCTTCCTAAAACCTTGTTTGCCTACTGAATTGACATATTCTTTTGTAATAGCAAAGCTGAAAGAAAAAAAGAGCAGCCCCGTCCTGCAGCTGGAACAGGCCAGGGCCGGGAGAGAGAGAGAAAGCTCAGTCAAAAGCAGCAATGGTTTGGCTGCCAGCCACGGGAGGTACGTTTCCACTCACACAAGAGGCCTGAGGTCCATGGTTAGGTTTCCACAATCGATTGAAGATGCCAGAGGCTGGACTTGCAAACTATGTTAAGCCAGCCTCCCCCCCTCCGCCCGCCCCATAAGTTCAATACTAACCAGGGTTAGTGTGTAGGAGCAAGGCCTAGGGCAGGCTGAGCGGACTTAAGTGGGGTCCCTTCCGTCCTGCCCAGCTCAGGAGATGCTTGTCCTGCAGGCCTGGCAGTGGAGGGAGAAACACAGCCAAGATGGCAGCCGCCATTTTAAAAGGCCTCCATGGGGCTGCTCTGGCTCAGGATGGGTTGCCGAGGCAGAATCCGCCCAGCCAGGACCCTCCGTCCCCCAGAGGGGACCTCTTGAGCCGGACGGGCCTCCTCAGTGGTGGCCCTGCTCTCTCCTTCCTCCTACATTTTGCGGTCTGGTTTTAAAAGTGTTACTCCAGGGGATGTTCAGACCTTTGTCTTGTCTTGGAAAGGCTTTATGTATTAGGGTTTTAACTGTAAATTGTCAGCTTTCAAATCCAGCCTTGTTTATCTGCCTCAGAGGGTCCAGGATCCTTTTGTGTACCAGGCCCTACCTACCCAAGCCTCCATCCAGGTTAAAACCCCATCTTTGAGGAAGGGCGGGGGGGAGGCAACAGTCAGCCCTTCAGGTCCTGAGGCCCTGGGGTGCCAACTCTGATCTTGAGAGGTGAATTTAGGGAGGCCTGCTGGCTGGCATGGCTCTGAGCTTCAACCCATGATGCAAATCCCAACGTGCAAATACCATAAATTCACAGCAGAGATCCAGTTTCTAATCTTTGATATTTGTATATTGCCGTGGGTTCCTCAGAATTCAGGTTAGTAAACTTTATAAATCAGCATATAAAGTGCACGATCTCAAACAATGATTCTATAAGCAGTCATTGGCGACTATCATTGCCCGAACAAGCCCAGAGTTCATTCTTTTACCCGTCCTCTTCCCCGTGGACTAATATTATTCAACCCATTGGTGGTTTGGTCCTTTTAAAGAACATGAATCTGCAATAAACCAGACCACCTGCTGGTAAAGCAAACCTCAAGATAAGAAAACCGCTTGACTTTCCATCCTCAAAGAAAAGGGCCCTTATTTTGCTGCCCGGATCTTCCAGAATGCCACATTTTTTGTCATCTGTCCAGGCCACCTGAAATGGAGGTCACCCACTAGTGCAACGGGGCGTGTGCGTTTCTATTGCTAATATTTTGTAATTCAAAAACATCAAAATTCAAAAACATCAAAATGTCACATGAATAAATTAAACTAGAGACCTGGTTTTGGGCCAACCTCCAGTTGTATAAATAGCTGAATAGAAAGAGCAATTTAAACATCTTCCGCCAACCCAAAGCTTCCAATTTTCCATTCATGAGCTCACGGGTAGCTTTTAGGTCTACCAAAGCTTCCAATTTCCCTTCCTTTATCTTTTCTTCACTTATTCAGTACTCTGCTACAAGGATCTCCAAACTTGGCAACTTTATGGTTTGTGGACTTCAATTCCCAGAATTCCCCAGCCAGCTATGTTGAAGTCCACAAGAAACTCAATCAAATAGACCTGGAAGGGACCTCGGAGGACTTCTAGTCCAACCCCCTGCTCCAGGAGGAGACCCTATGTCATTTCAGACAGGGGGCTGTCCAGTCTCTTTTTCAAAACCTCCAGTCATGAAGCACCAGGGATGAAATTTTAAAGTTGCCAAGTTTGGAGACTCCTGCTGTAGTACGAAGCCATTCTTTGTTGTTAAAGGAAGAATTTGTTCTTCTTTCTGCTTATTCGATAAGTAAGTATCAGGTGTACAGTTTCTCTGTGGTGTTAACAAAGGGAGAGAGGCGGGTCAATAATGGGCCAGGTCCATCCTGCCTCCTCCTCCTCCTCCTCCTCTTCCTCCTTTGAAGCTCCTCCTCCAACCGGCTTGTTTCCAAGGGATTTGGTCCTAAGCTCTTCACACAGATCCCTATACAGCTGTTGGCAATCTCCAATCTCCACTTCTGGCCTCTTTAGCCCGCTGGCAGCTTTCTCACGTTCTGACCCCATGAATGATAAAGGAAGAGCCCTTTGGCTAGTAAACCAAATAAGGGGTGCAGGAAGTGTTTGGATGGCCTTCTACTGGGAAGGACATGCTTCAAACAAGAAGAGGGCTATCAGATCCGAGATAGCTGCCCTGAATCCAAGGAAGGATTTCTCAACTTCAGCAGCTTTAAGGTTGAGAAATGCCAGCCTAGATATCGGAGCAGGCAAAGTCCATTGCAACTCCTCCCCATTCAGGTTTCTTGTAGGTTTCTCTTTTGCAAAACAGCCACAAAGTTCATTCTCCCCACCCCCAACCCCTGATTTCAGCCCACTCAGCTACTCTTTAGTATGAAACAAAATTCCCCTGATTTGCAAGCAAGGCTTTATATGTAACCCTGGAATTAATGTGAATAGGGGTCAAAGGCTTATTCCTTGGACAGCAAAGGAAACAAATACTAGACTGCGTAATGTCACGGGAAGGCAAAACCCTGAAACTGGGTCTCACTTACTTTGGCCCCATCCTTTGGAGGAGTTCATGGGAGAAAGCGACTGTGCTGGGAAGAGTTAGGGGTAAAAGGGAACCAGGCGGCCAAAGGTGACACCAGCCAGAGCACAGAACAACTCAAAGCAGCAGTGCAAGATCAGGAGATGCAGAGAGACCACCTGGCCCTTAGAATCGCCAAGAGTCAGACATGACTGAATCGATATCATCATCATCATCATCATCATCATCATCATCATCATCATCATCATCATCATGAATTGCCCACCAGGCCAATTCCCCTCTCAGCTACAGGAGGAGGAACAACAACGGAATCCCTGAAGCCTTTGGAGCACTGCCAACTTCTGTCCTCCCAGAGTCCATCGGTGCCCTCGACCACATGACTCCCTTTTATCCTGCATGGACGCCCCTCTCAGCCAGCCTCAATGGGCACCTGTGACTCACCTGAAGCGGAACCTGGAGAGCAGGCCTGGAAGCGGGGAGGGCTCTGCCTGGCAGCCATGGCTCCTGAAGCACAAGTACAAGTGCAAGGGGGTGGAGGGTATTGTGTGGTGAGCTGGGCTGTGAGGCCAGAAGGATGTCGCTGTCGAATGCCTAGCCGCAAGCTGGTGCACTGGGAATTTTGGGATTGATCCAAGTTGGAAGCGCCAAGGAAGGCCTGGTTGGCTAACGGTTCTGTGGAGAGGACAAACGGGGAAGCCTGGGTCAGCCTCCCACTGCTGAGGGGAAAGAACCACCTTGACACCCCTCCCCCCCAATAACACCACATCGTATTTCATGGATTCCCACTCCTTCTTCTTTGATGGCAGGCAGGCAGGGGGTGGGTGGGTGGAGAATTGGGCCTCCGGGCCTCCCTGCATGCACTTCCTCAAGTGGGCCTTTGCCCTGTCTGCCTCCACCATTGGGGTGGGGGGACTTAGAGACACGGAAGTCCTCATGGCAATCCATGGAGAGTCTCCAATTGGGTCACCCTTGGATGAGCGGGCATAACATTGGACTGAGGCCGATGGTGACGGGGGCCCTCATAGCTGGTGAGGCGCTCCTGGACACTCTGCTGCTGTCTTTTGAGGACTAGCCAAAACCAGGGGACCTAGAGAACCTCTTTCTCCTCCATGGCTTCACAAAGTATTCCTCTCAGCTCAGCTTACCCTTTGTGGGTGCCCCCTCAAGGATAACCAGAGGTGCCAACCCCTGAGTTTTGGGTCTGAGTGGCACTTGATTTTGGAGCCAGGGTGTTGCCCGTCTTCCATTCGAGCAGCCCCAAGGTTTCCAGGCCAAGGTCTTCCCCACCTGCCCTGACCCCTTGGGACACTGCTGAGCTCAGCATGGGACCGAGTAGATGTGCAGGGACCCCTGGATTGGGGCCTGGGGGCAGCCCGAAGGGCTCTTATTTGATTGGAATCAAGGGCATCCCCTCGTTCCCTTCCCCCATGCCACCTTGTTGGTCCAGACGGGTGGATTCAAAGTCGGGCAGCTGATTCCTCTCGTTGAATTGGTCGTGAAGGGCAGACTTGAGCTCCTGGTTCTCGCGTAAGAGCAGCACCAGCTGTTTCAGTTCCTCGTTTTCAGCCACGAGGGCTTTGATTTCTTTTCTCAATGCCTCATAACGAGCAAAGATAGCCATCCCCTTAAAAGCGATATGAAATGGGGAGATTTTGCTGCCTCAGGGTGCCCCAAAAGAATGACATTCAGAGGGCCATGTGGGAGCCCCAGCTGCCAAGAGTTCCCCTCTCCTGTCCACTGCCAAGCTGTTAGGTGGGAGCTTGGATAACCGGCACAGTGACACAATCAGCCTTTGTGATGCGGCCAGGTGGGGGAGGGAAGGAACTTGAAGGTGTGGGGGTGGGGGGATCTGGGCTCTGCCTCAGTGAGGCAGAAGGAGCTCCTGGGTGGGCCAGGAATGCCCTGACCCAGCCAGGAGGGACCCTCGCCAGCCCAAAAGTGGTGCCTGGTTCTAGCCAGCTGCTTCCACAATAAAGGGGGGGGGTCTTCTGGGGAATCTGCTGCTTTGGGGCCTGGCCATGGGGTAGGGGGGAGGCTGATTGCAGCTGAAACATTGGCCTCTTCCTCTGGCCTGCCAGCCTGCTGACGAGGGTCTCTGGCCCTTCTGGCAAGAGGGAAAGAAGCACGTGGGTTCTGAGCCTGGCCTCCAGGGCAGCTCTCCTGGCTGGTGGCCTCCGGTCCATGGCCCCATTACAAGGGGCAAAGCCGAGAATGTGGGTGGTGCTCACAGCCCATGAATTGCCCGATGCTGGTGCAACCCAGGCCCTCCAAACTGTACTTCCAAGCTTTGTTTAAAATACAGAAAGACTGATTTAACGTGAGAGCATTGTTGAAAACAGCTAAACGACTCCTGTCCCCACAGATGAGATGGACGGGGTGCCTGAACTGTCTAGGGAGCCTTCAGTAAGCAGTCAAACATTCTGGGCCATCCGTGACTTGCCTATTGTCGTATTTATGCTTCCTCTGGACAAGAGGCCTTCTCCCCCTTCCTCCACCCCCCTCTCCCCCGTCCTCTTGCAGAAGTGATATTGGGAAAAGATCACCTCTTGGCCTGCGGAGAAAGAAGCTCCGGTTGTGTGGTCAGCATTTGGCCAACTGTTGGTGCTCTGAAAGCTAAGCAGGCTCAGCCTTATTGACCCACGGCAGTGGGCTGGAGAGAAGTCCCCGAATTGTCCTGTGGGTGGGTTGGGGAACTGTGTCTTGTTGCGTGGAGCCTCACAGAAGACGTGAAAGTTGAGTTCCACCTGAGGCGGCTCACAGGAGGTTCCACGGAGCTTTGCCTGGAAGAGAAAACAGTGGCCCCTTTCCCAGCTCAGAGAGGACAGGAAGCACCCGTTGTGCAAAGAGTGGCACCTGCTCACACTGGAGGCTCCGCAGTCAGGCAGCTGTGAAGGGACAAGGCCATGGGGAGGGCACGGAGTGCGTCTCACACACACTGGCACCTCTCTGCAGCCATGGAGTCCCCAGCAGGTGCAGCCGAGGCCCACAATTTGGCTGTGGAAGGGTGAAGAGGGAGAATATATGGGGGAGGGGAGAGGAAGCAGCTTCTTCCCTGCCAAGTGCTGCCAGAGTGGTTGGGCTCAGATCAGGCAAGCAGCCAATGAGAGGACCCATTTCATAGCTCAACAGGCAGTGTTTCCCCACAGGTTCCCCACATTAATTCTTTGGGAGTTCTTACAAATGTATGTAAAGACAACCCCTGTTGAGGTAATTCTCTGTTAGGAGAATGAGCGCACACAGGGAGACGTAGTGAGAGTAGTGAAGAATAACACACAACCAGCACACAGATACAGTGTATAGTAAAATGTAGGTTTTTACTTCCAGTAAAAACGATTAAGCAAAGTTCAACAAACAGTCCAAGTCATTCACGGTTAAAGCAGTCAGTTTTCAGTCCAGGGAGAATCCAATTAACAAAGTCCAGTATCATAAATAGTTTAGTAACAGACTTACATCAAATCCAAGAATAACGACAATCAGCAAAAGTCAATAGGGAAATGCAGGAACGGCAACACTCTCAGCAACAACAGAACAACCCAGGTTTCTGGGTCCATCTTATGGCCGTTTGAGGAACCACACCCAATTACAATTTTAGCATTCCCTTAAAGAGACAGTATTAAAATGTCTATCCTGGTTTATATATTTTCCAACCCAACTGTTAGGTGACTTACATTCCTAACAACCCCCGCATTTGCAGCAGCTGATCCTCAGATCTGCCCTCCATGCTTTTTCATCCATCACATTAGCCCTGTTAAAACTGCATGTGGGGTGCTGGAAGATGACTGGTAAGGCCTAGTTGAGCAGGGAACATCTGGCACACGTTGGGCAAGCATGCAGTTCCTGCAGTTGTTGCACTAGTGGCTCTGGGCTTGCGCAGCTTGTGCTTGTGCCGTGCGTCTGTGATGGACCTCCCTTCCTTGGCTTGGCAGCCTTCGTGGATGGGGCCACTCCAGGCAGAGCAATTCTGTGTCAGTGTTTCCCTGGTGGTCGTGTCCATTTCAAGCATGTTCTAGAAGGCCTTTAGTAGCATACAGATGGCATGATCTGCCCACCGATCTAAAGGAAGTTAGAGGCCAAAAGATATGGAAAATAGCTGCAGAAACTGAATATGTGTAGTTTAAAGACAGGAGGAGTAGGGGTGATGTGATAGCCGTGTTCCAGTATTTGAGAGGCTTCCACAAATAAGACCCTGGGGGCAAACTATTCTCCAAAGCACCAGGAGGCAGGACAAGAAACAATGGATGGAAACTCACCAAGGAAAAAAGCAACCTGGAGTTGAAGATCAACTTCCTAACAGGACAATTAACCAGTGGAACAGAAGTTGCCTCCAGAAGTTGTAGGGGCTTCATCCCTGGAGGCTTTTAAGGAGAGACTGTTCAGCCATTTGTCTGAAATGATCCAGGGTCTCCTGCTTGAGCAGAGGGTTAGACTAGAAGACCTCCAAGGTCCCTTCCAACTCTGTTATTCTGTTAGCTATCTATGTGGACTTAGGGCAGATTTGCTCTAGCACTTCAGTGTCTGGTGCCCAATACTCTGCAAAGACACATCCCACATAGATGCTTGAGTTGTCCTGCATGCCTTCAATACACTCATTTTACAAGCAGACTGAAGGGCAGTGAGTATCAAGATCTCTGTAGACCTTCTGTTGCTCATCTAATTTCTCCACAGCACAGTGGGGTGCAACGTCCTGAAAGCAGAACTCGCCTCTGCTCTTTTGCAGTGGACTTCTGTACCGATAGTCAGTGTCTCGTCTCAGGCAATATTTATCTTCTCAAAATACCTGAGATAAGAAGTTAAACACTACAAAGGCTTCCATACAAAGTTTCTTTATTGGATTTATCAGCTATCCTCAAGGTATAACTCACAGTTATGTTGAGATTCATCTAATGTCCAATCTTTGCATTGTTGTCTTCATAGTGTGAAAAGATAGTTCATCCCATAATGATACAGCAAAGGAAGACTCCAGGTAGGAATGACCAAAACTCCCCCCAACCCAACTAGAGGTCAATTCAGTGACCAATCAGGATTACAGATGTGACCACATGACATGAACTACATCTCCCATGAGGCATTAACTGCATTTCCCATGAAGCATTCCCTTAAGGGGACCGCTCTCATTCCCAAACTAACTATATACTGTTTAACCAGCACGCTCCCTGCCTGGAATTATAAATTCCATTACCAGCTAACTATCAACTAAAGTAAACATTAGATAGTTGTTAAGCCTGGATTCCCCAACGGGTGTTAAGGAAAACAAACTAAACAGAACGTGCAGCGAAGTCAGATAGGAAGACAGGTAAATGTGTGAGATAAGTTTTCTAGTTAACACGCAGTAAAAATACAGATACGCTTGTGCTATCAAAAATATAGTTTATTCCATTTAAGAATTATAGCATAGTCAAACAAACGGTCCATTAGTCATATATCAATTTCAGTCAAGTCTTGTCGGGGATACTCTAATTGCAAAGTCCGTGTTGAATAGCCAATGTCAGTTCACTTACAATAAATCAGTCCAATCTTTTTACTATCTCTCCGTTGAGAAAAATCAACACTCCTTCTTCTCTCCCCTTTTCAGCAAGAACGCAGTCATCAATCCATTCAGTAATTAGAGATCAGTAGGCCAGAGAGAGAGAGCTGCATTGCCTCGCTTCTTATATAGTGCTTTTACAACCACACCCTTAATTACATTCTTGCTGTTAAAGTTACACACACTTTAACTAACAAACCATGATACTATATTTATTATTTTTTTACCCAAACCAGTTAGGGTAAACAATGTTATCCCTAACAATAGTGACATATCATCAAACAATGCAATGAGATAGATACAAAGCATGCAAAGCTTGAGGTTCAATCTTCGAGTTCAGCCTTTCTCCACAGCAACACTAGGTCAGTCTGGTGTAGAGCTTCTTGGTGAAAGTCTGCTGGTCACAGGAAGAATCTTGCGACCTCACTATCTGGACCTCGGCGGACAAATTCATCAGAACTCGGTAGGACTCGATGCATAAGTCCCATGGGCCATGAGTTCCAATGCACATCCTTGCCTTTTAGCAAGGCAAGGTCCCCTTCTTTGAGGTTCAGTTCTTTGGTCTTCCATTTATGGCAGTCTTGTAGGGTAAACAGGTATCCTTGCTTCCAATGGTTCCAAAGGGTATCAGAAAGCCGTTGGAATGGATGTTGTGAAGACATTTGCCTGGGATGGGGCCTGCAGCCGATTGACACAGACTATTCCTGAGATTCCCCATCCCAGTTCTGTTTTGAAGGCAAATGGGGAGCCTCTCGGGCCTCTGACAACTTCAGTGTAAGCTAAAGCATCAGGGGCGTCTATTCCCAGCAAGAGCAGAATCTCGGCTTCAGGATCTAGAGTGGGAAGATGATGAGCCATGTGCTTCAGGTGAGGTATGTTACTTGCTACCTCTGGTGTTGCAATCTGGCTGCGGTCAATTGGCATCCCATCCCATTCTAATAGAGGTGGCAGTGGGAACCGGGAACTCCCATCTAATGACTCTATATAGAGTCCAGTAGCTTTCCTTCCTGCCGTGCATTGTGGTATGATGCACATGATATTGTGAAGTGCACTTCTTCCTTCTGAACATCAAAAAGGTCGAAGAATGCGGACCTGGC